AAATTTTTAAAGAGATGGAAGGCTTTTTACATGATTTAAAAATGCGACAGGGAAGTTCTTTCATACTTTGTCTGTAGACCAATGTATAGCTGTGTAACCAAAGGTGTGATACTAAACAGTTAAATCAGTGTAACCTTATTTGTAGACAAAGTCTTAGTCTTTAGCTGAAGGCGTGGAAATTTTCAGCAAGTTCTTAGAACTTTCTTCTGGTATTCTAGACTAATTTATTGCATTGTAAATGGTGTGAATAAAAAACTTCAGACAAATCAAGGAAGTGAAGCAACATCATAAAGCTGCTAGTTTTCCAGGATGGATACAAATTACTGAATTTTCAGTTAAAAAATTAGGAAGAGTAATGGGAAAGGGGGCAAAGCTCTTCAGTTCACCTACCCTAACATAAACAACAAATGCACAAGTGCAACCTTTTTGTTGCTGGTCACTTTTACCTGTTGACATCCAAATACAGCAGTTTCTGAAGTTTTGAAGAAACTTCTTAATTTACATTTTAACAAATGCCAGTGGTGGTCTAGTACTTTTATGCAGTGGCTTCCAACAAATCTAGACTGCCGTACCCCTTTCAGTAGTCTGATTTGTCCCATATTCCCCCACTTTTCACCTAATTTAAAATCTATTTGCATATAAAATCATACATAAAAATACAAAAGTGTCACAGCACAGTATTGCTGAAAAAATTGTTTACTTATTAATTTTTACTGTGTAATTACAAAATAAATGTACCGGAATATAAATACTGTTCTTACATTTCAGTATTGTATGTAGAGCAGTATAAACAATATGCAATTTTAGTTTGTACTGACTTTACAACTACATAAAAAGCACTGTTAACATTAGGCAAATATTTGGGCGAACTGATATACCCCCTGGAAGACCTTTGCATATCCCCATGGGAATCTTTGAATGGTCCTGATGTAAATTGTTTTTGACTTGAGAAATTGTTTTTGACTTGAGTATGTTAGTGCTATATTTTGCTTGCTTTTTTGTTGTTGCGCCCAAAGTTTACAGTTCAGGTCAAGACATATGGGCGTATCTAGTTTAGTACTGTACACGTGTATGTTAGTGCTATATTTTGCTTGCTTTTTTGTTGTTGCGCCCAAAGTTTACAGTTCAGGTCAAGACATATGGGCGTATCTAGTTTAGTACTGTACACATGCTGAAAGTGAGTGAAGGGGGGGGGAAGAGCTGCACAGCTCTGAAGACTTTCTGAAGTGAGGCTATCTCTGGCAGACCTCATAATATGCATAGGAGAAATCATTCTTGAAAGTGGCAAGTCAAGTTATTAAACTAGGGATGTTAAATTTTGGCTACTCAATTAGTCGATAAAGGGAGGAGGGGCACTCCTTATCCTGGCTGTGCCTCTGCCTTTTAAATGTAGCAAAAGTCCCACAAGGTTCTTGCTACATTTAAAAGGCTGAGGCGCAGCAGTCAGACCCAGTGCGAGCGGGGACTGCTTGAGTCCCCACTTGCGCTGTTTCCCCTGCTTCACTTCCCCTATCCTCCCCCGAGCACTGGCTCCTGCTCTCCTCCGCCCTTAGTTGCCTTTGATACAGTTGAGTGACTCGACTATTCGATGAGCCTAGGTTTCTCAGGTAGTCGACAAGTTGATTACACCCCTGTATTAAACTGGATTTTTTTGTCTTAAAAAAATCAAAAGTGTTAATATTCTCTGAAGTGCTGAAGATAGTATGGCTGAGTAATCAGAAGTAAGGAAATGACAAAGACTACACGTACAGTATTTATTTGTGCTTCTGTATTGTTATGATTACATGCTATTTTTTAACTGAAGTAATTTATACAAGCACATCTTGAATCTTCTGAATTTCTCAAGATGTCTTGCTGTTTTGTATATGGAGGGTAAGATCAGAAATTATGCAGTGTCTAAAGACAAGTAGATGAAAAATGTTAAATATGAAAACTTTTGATTATGTGAAAGATTAAATGCTTTCACTAAAAGCGATTTTAGGTGTTTATATAGGACAGAGCAATAATTTTTGAAGGGGAGGCCACTTAATGAATTCAGAAGTGGTCGCAGGCCGACCCAGTAGGGGTGGGGCCAGGGGCCTTCATGTGCTCCCATCCCTAGGTTTCAGTTCACCTGCGGGTGGGAGAGTGGCACAGTGGATGCAGGCCAAATCAAAGGGCTTGGCGGGCTGGATTTGGTGTGCAAAGGCTTTGTTTCCTACCCCCATGGTCTGGGAGGGGGTTATAACCTGGGGCTCGACGGGGTGCAGGAATTTGGGCTGTGACCAGAGATAGCAGATTTGGGTTCAAGGTCTGGGAGAGGGTTGTGACCTGAGGAGGGGTGTAGGAGGGGATGCAGTGTCTAGGAAGATGTATGGGAGCTGGAGCAGTGGTGCAGAAGGTTTGGGTTACATGGGGTAAGAGTGTGGGAGGGTGGCAGAAAGTTGGGGGAGGGAAGGGCTGGGGTGCCAGAGGCAGGCTCTGGCTGGGAGACCTTACCTGGGTGGCTCCTAGCCATCAGCGCAGCAGGTTCCATGCCCCTGTACAGCTCACAGCAGTCACAGGGGCCATGTGAGCCCAGGGGATGAGGGGGGAGGGGAAAACAGGCAGCTGCTATTGGCTGGAAACTGGCCAGTGGGAGCTCCTGGAGGCGGGAGCAGTGTGAGAAGCCTCTGCCCCTTTCCTCCAGCTCTAGCATTCACAGAAGCACATGGCCCTACAGCACCTGGCTTCACTGAGTTCTAAGTAGG